GAACCAAATTTAAATTTGAGTGAAGAGTTAAGTACGAATTTGCTTAAGTCTTAAAATCTTTCCTGCATTACGTTTTTCTCCTTTTTTAACCATTTAAAAAAAGTATTTCTAATATCGTAGCAATAGCCAATAAGAATATTTACAGAAACTATTCTTTTCATCTTATGTTGTTTTTATAACTTAAAACAAAAAATGCTTTAAGGAATCTTACTGAAAACTATCAACATTTCATTACTTAAAAATAAATATATAAAAGTTACTTTTTTTTTTTTATGAAAAAATCATGGGTATTTCGAAAATAAATTTAGTATTCTTTTAGCATTAATTATTTAGATATTTTTAGCATTAATTTACGGCTCTTCAACTGACATACATTACTGCGAGTCCTCCCTCCCACTAATGTTCTGTTCTAGTTAATGTACTAGAAACTAGAGACAAGAATAACTTCAGATTGCAGTAGTTATTGATGAAACCCTATCGATTTCAAAGACCATCTGTCATAGGTGCCTCTTCTTCAGGAGCAAAATATTTCGGTGAGAATTTTTAGAAAAAAAATGCCAAAATTTTGCCTCCCCTCTCCAAAATATATGGCTGAATATTCTTCACTATTCAAACATTTAGTTTTCAAAATATGCTTGTGCAATAAAGATGTAAGGATCTTAAGTTTTACTAACATTTATTTTATTTTAAAACTTTACTATCTTCTCTTATTTTCCAAAAATCACATCTTATTTCGATTAGGTTTTTCATACTGATCACTAAAAATACGTATCTTTGCAAAGTTACTTTATTTCAATACTTTTTTTAAATCTAATTCCTGACAGCACTCAAAAAAATTTCATTTTCTTTATGTGTTTACTCTAGATATTTTTATATTTTCATACCCAGATGGAAGACTTTTTACTCTGTTCGGTTGTGTTGTAATTGAAACGATGTTACAAAATTCGCTAACAGATGGCAGCACATATGTGTTAGTTTTTCTGATAGTATTAAGTTTAAAATTATTATAAGGCAAGAAAAAGAGCTTTGGTCGACTGGGAACGGTGGCGCGTTCCTGTAATCCAGCTGCTTTGGAGGTCGAGGTTGTTGGATGGTTTGAGGTTGGGAGTTCTGTCCTCCATGCGCCTGTCTTGATTTGGCGTCCGTGCTACGCACTCTGTCGATATGGTGGAACTGGGGGAGCCCGGATCTACCAGGTCGTCTAAGGAGGAGCGAACCGGCCCAGGGCGGAAACGCAGCAGGCAAAAGTTCCTGCAGGGTGCGGTAGTCGGATAGCGCTAGTGAGTAGGTGGCAGTGGACAGCCCATCTAAGACGGTCAGACTCGGCCTTTTTTTTTTCGTATTTATGTATGAGTTTCATTAAATATCATCTCAAACCAAAATATTTTAATGTTAAGAGTCTTTCTTAGAGGTTTTTTGCACATTTGTTTCTTTTTTGGTCAATTTACATACCTATGACGCTTTACCAGTTCTTCATAACTATATTTTCACCTACACTTTTCATCGTCGTTTATTGTTTTTTCCGTCTACTAGTTGCAATTTAAACCACTTTGTTGGACAAGAAGTGACTGCTTCTATCAAATTTTGGTACAGCTGAAAACATTATACCTGGATAAAGTCCTAGAAATTAAACAAGAAAGCTGCTGAGTACGCCAAATAATTATGCACTCTGATCTTTACTTATTTCCTTACAATTACATTATAAATTATGCATTTTTCGATAAATTAACAACCAAGGACAAGGAATGACGACTTCAGATTACTTTGTGATTAGTGGGATAAAATTTCGAGCAATTTAACACACGGTTTTCAACGAGAAGTATTTCCATTTAAATGGAAATGTGAATAAGCAAAATGTTCGATTTTGAGCGAGTGCAGAACCTTACAGGCTATATTAAATTAATAATTATGAAGAAGGCTGGTTAGGTTAATTGACTAAGGGAAAGCAACTGCATGCGGGAAAGGATACTTTTGGGAGGACCCTTTCAAGGAAACTGATTCGTACCCATGTTGCACATGAAAAAAAAAAAAAATGTCCGTGCAGTCAACCTGTCGCCTTGATAGGACCCTAGGTCGAGCTCCAAGTATTTAGTATCTTTATTGTTCGCTCTTTGTTGGGCCGGAATTCAAGAAATGCTCAGCGTTCAAAGAGCATGTTGAAAAACGGATTTTGTCAGCTCTTAGCCACTGTCTTTATACACTAAGTGTCTCAGACACGACTGATCCACATATTGCAAATGTTGTCCTTGATCTCCTGTTTGACATATTTAATGTGCGTGCGGTATCACATCGATTTCATAAGGATCACGAAGGAGAGAGACAGGGCCCGGATAGTAATCCTGTGAATACTATTAATTATGATTTTTGAAAGATAAGGTATTCGCAAGAGGTCTAGAAATGTCGCGCAAGTCCAGGTTCTTATCGTGCTATGCAATTTCGGAAAATGTGTTGTTGTATGTAGTCAAAACTCCATCTCGACTAGATATTTTTAAGAAAGTAAGTGACGAATAAAACATGTTGAGCCTTTATAAGAAAGGCCTTAGTGTTATTTAAGTCTCTTAATTATGAATGTTATGAAGTTAAATAGAATTGGGTATGATATTTCGTTGGTTGTGGTGGCAAACGTATATGTCACATGTTATGATAAACAGGAATATAGTGGCAACTTACCCCAGGACAAGATCCAGGTCTATAGCCCGCCGTGACGAGAGAGTGACAAACACGTGAAAACAGATTTAATTCTTGCTTTATTGGATACTAACAATACTGAAGAGATATTCCTTTTTTTTTAATCCGGTATGTCACATGACGATATGAGGCCTCCTCACTCAGAACAAAAAAGATAGATCAATTCTTCCACACAGCCCTTCGAAGACTTGGTGTATTTCAGCTCAAACACATGCAGGTACTCTTCATCGGGATGCCGGGCGAAAATGCCAAGCCCGGGAAAAAAAGGAGATTAGCTTAAATTTTGCAGCTACAACATCAAAGAGAAAGAAACTCGCTTCCTTCATACACACTGGGAGACCAAAGAAAGCTTGCACGATAAACTCCCAAAAGTTTGCATTTTTACTCCACTCTTACTGTCTTTCTCTATGCAGCATCTCCATCTCGCACCTTCACAATCTCCTCCTTCTCCTCCCTCCTCGTAGACAAAAAAATACCGCCTTTTATAAAGTTCCACAGTTAAGTTTTGCCGCCCAATGAAAAAAGATCCAGCGTTAGAAGGCAACCAATCGCAAAATACCTTCAGCTACCCAGGCAAACAGAAGTGAAGACGCTAGTTGTCTGACGCAATACTTTCCTCCGCTTACCGCTTAATACTTTCCTCCGCTTACAACAGTTGTCTGATGCAATACTTTCCTCCGCTTACAACAGTTGTCTGATGAAATCTGTTCCTCACCTTACAACACAAGTTGGCGAAAAAAATGAAACTGTCACCAAAGGAATCTGATGCAAATATCTAAATATTGCCATAACGTAGTAAATAATTAATTCAATGTGACCTCGTCACATATCCACCCCTCCTTCGGAAAAAAAAAGGGTAAAAAAAAAAATTCCTATGTACAAGAACGAAGAACATTCCTAGTGTTAAGAGGGAGCCTCATATCAACACATGCCAATTCATGTGAAAGTGCTGGTTAAAAAAATACATATATTACACACAAATTGCTATTTACATAATAAATAAAAGTACATAGTATACAAATGCCAGACAAATAACATAATCAAATGCGCTATAAATAAACATACAATTTCTAACATATTAAAACATGGAGATCACTTGGTTAAAATATATGGATACAAAGAATCCAATTTTACACTGTTGGCACAGATGATTCAATTCATCACGCATAATCATTCAAAAGTCCATGAAAAATATTAGATCCATATAAAAGTCTATAATTTACCGTACTGAGTATTCAGGCACAGTCTCTAACACGTGTACTCAGTAATAAGTGATATAATCATTGCACATTCACATAATTTGTCCAAAATATTGAAGAACTAGGCACATAATTGATAATAAGTGTGCGTTAAAAAAAAGTACACAGTCCACAAAAGTAGTCGAGATGTCAAACAATTTGAACATTGTTCATATAGTTCATAACCTACATTCTGTTCTATTTGCACAGAATTCAGCATTTAAGAGGATATATGGATACACAAACACAGAAATATCATGTGTAAACAAAGTTAACTTGCAAGACATAAGACAGTTGTGGTGGTAAATGCATTAACAGTGAGTCCTCAAAGGCACAGTAATAGAATATCATGCTATAGTAATTTAGTAGCACCATGTAATATAGTTTAACATATATTATTTCATGCTACTGCAATGCAGCTAGATATTACCAACATTCTGAATTAGCACCTAAAAGGGAGCAGCACAAACCCTTAGAATAAAGTTAATATGCATCGAACCATTGGACCAAATTAAATATATCATGACATACAATACTTCTCATGCTATACAACAAACAAAATTCACATACCAACTTTTCATGCAAAACATGTTTCATGCTATAAATATGTAGTATAACACATACAGTTTCAAGATAAAAGTAGGGCGTATAAAATCTCATGGTGACTAAAGATTAGAGAACCGTTACAATAAAATAAGAAAACATTCTTTATGATAAAGCAAAATTGCAATTTTTACATACTCCTAGTTACACTTAATAAATAGCATTTATGATGACAAAATATTATAAGACAACTATAATCACATCATACAGAGAGATTTTGAAAAATAAAACACCTTTAATCATTTTAAATATGTTAGGCACAATGTTGTTGAATCTATAATTGATATTTAAGGGTGATCAAGCCTTAAATACTAATGATTATGCCTGCACAATCATAAGAATTCAACAAAAGAGGCGCAACAGAATAAATTTGGTACAATTAGATATAAAAACACACTACTTAACAATACATAACTTTTCATATATATCAACATTCTCCAATACACTACTATGTTAAGACGAGAAGAAAATTTAAACGTGCTGTCTTTTTCTTAGATTATACTGATGTGTAACTTGAGGAGCAGGAGGTGGATTTTGAACTAAGTGAGAGAATCGTTTTGGAGCTAAACGAAGGCGATTGATGTGAATTTTGAATGGTTGAGCAAACTCATTGTCAAGTGCTCGAATAGTGTAGTTTACATCACTTGATTTTGAAACAATACAGAATGGTCCAGAAAATCTGGGTTTAAATGTATCCTTAGATTTCAGATACACTACGTCATCAATACTGAATGATCTTAATTTGGCATTTTTCAGTTGACGAGTATTTTGTTCTACTTGTTTTCGCTCAAGCGTCTCATAGGCATGTTCATAAGTTAATTTCAGCTGTGTTAGAAGATCACACAAATAATGGGATTTATCCAATTGAGCTGGCCTTGGATCAGGATGAAATGTATCAAAAATTAAAGATAAGTTTCTTCCAAAATGCAAAATATTAGGAGAATAGCCTGTTGAAGGATGAATAGTAGTACCATTGTAAATATTCTGATGGATTAACAATGCATTTTGAAATGAAACACCTTTTTCATGAAGGGTAAGTAAAGAAGTTTTGATTGAAGTATTAACTCGTTCACTTTGTGCATTGCATTCCGGTCTCTGAGGAGTACAATGAGATAATTTAATACCTAATGATTTTGTAATTGATTCAAACACTAATGAAGTGAATTGTGTGCCCAAATCAGTCAAGATCATTTCCGGTCGTCCATGTACAGATATATATTGTAATAAATGCCCTGTAATAGTTTCAGCAGTGAGATTTTTAAGTGGATATAAAGCAAGATGCTTAGAAAAATGATCTAAAACAGTAAGAACATGGCCACAATTCCTTATAGGACCGACAATATCCATGGAAATAAAGTCATTTGGGTACTTAGGTATTCTGATGGCTTTATATGGTGCTTGTTTAGGAGTGAACGACTTATATTTGTTGCATAAATGACACGAGAGGACAAAGTTCTTTGTGTCGTTATACATGCCCTTCCAAAAGTAACGTTTCGATAAAATCTCATAAGTCTTTTGCACCCCAAGATGGGATATATGGGAAATTTCTAACACTTTAGATTTCAATGCTTGTGGAACAACAATTAACTCAGCATTATTTTGTTTGTTTGAAATAAACATAAGAAGCTTGCTTGACTCATTAATGAAGAAATTATGTACCTTTGCAGCATTAAGCAAGGAAGGATTTTTCAAAATTGTGATAATTTCTGAAGTAAAAGGATCCGAACTTTGCTCAGCAAGAAACGTTGACTCAGAAATTTCATGAGCAGGATCTCCAGAAGAAACCAGGGCATTCACTTGGGGTCGTTCAAGATTTGTTTCAACAAACGGAAGAATAACTGAGTTATCTTCAGAGTTTTCAGCCAACACTGGCTGATTATGATCAGGATCTTGCATACGTGACATGTAATCAGCTAGAGAATTTAATTTTCCAGGAATGTGCTTAAATTCAAAAGTATATTCACTTAACTCCATAAGCCACCTAGTCGTGTTGTCAGCAGGTGACGTAGATTTTTGATAATGCAACAGAGGTTTACTATCAGTCAAAATTGTAAACTTTCGATTATATAAATATGATTTGAAAGCAGTAACAGACCGATAAATGGCATAAAGTTCCAATTTTATAGCTGGGTATTTTCTTTCAGATGGTGACAATGTTCGACTATAATATGACACACAGGATGCAATTCATTGTTGTGTTCCTGCAGAAGAACTCCCGAAATAGCATGACCACTGGCATCAGTATTCAGTATAAATTCCTTGTCCCATTGTGGTAAGATAACAAAAGGTTCAGAAAAGAATATATGCTGAAGTTTCTCAAATGCAACGCTATGCGCATCAGTCCATTTAAATTTATTCTTCTTACTGGTCAATTGTGTCAAAATATCAGTAAGTTCGGCATAATTTGGTATGAGATGCCTATAGAAACCACAAAGGCCTAGAAATTTTCTGACCTGGCGGACAGTCTTAGGTGGTTGAAAGTTAGTGATCTTAGCAATATTAGTTGAAATGGGTTTAATTAAGTTATGAGAGATGTGAAATCCTAAATAATCTATAGCTGTTTTGAAAAAGACACATTTTGTAGGAGACAGTGTTATGTTATACTTAGATAAAAGTTTCAATACTGCAGTCAACTTAGTCATCATATCATCAAAGTCAGAAGCACCTATTACAATATCATCCTGATATGCATGCACACCTACGATGCCGTCCATTTTTAGTTCATCAATAAGCGTATCCACTAAAGCTTGAAAAGTACTGGCGGCAGTCTTTAAGCCAAAAACTAGCCTTCTATTAGCAAAGGATCCAAAAGGTGTAGTAAATGTTAACACATCCTGCAAGTGATCGGGAAGTTTAATTTGCCAATAAGCATTTTTTAAGTCAAGTACTGAATAGTACTTGTAAGTGGAGATGTTGTTTATAAGCGTTGAAATCTTTGGAAGAGGATATGTTGAATGTTCAATAATAGAATTAAGCAATCTTAAATCAAGAGCCATGCGGTATTTGGGTGGATTATTAGGGTATTTGGGATCTGGCTTCTTTTTTACTAACAGCATGGGACAAGCCCATTCAGCAACATTTCGATGAATTAAACCAGCTTCCTGCAATTCCTGAAGATCTTCTTTAACTTGGGATTGCAATGAATAAGGAATTTCAAAAGGGAGGGTCCTAATGGGATTCGAAGACCTAAAACAAATTTGTGGGGTTACCCTATCAGTGCAGCCAAGTGATTTTAAAGATTTGGAAAAAGCTGCATAATTAGAGATTAACACATCCAATAAACACTGCCTTTGTTCAGGAGAAAGATGGTTAAGATCAAAGTCAGTTGGTAACAATTCTTGTTTCCTTATTTCTAAAACCTCTTTTGATGGAGTTATAAGATTGCAATACTCATTTTGAGGAGTATCCGAATTTACAGAATCAGGTATGGTCTCAGCAAATTCAATATCAGATGTGACTTGACCTAGCTTCTGATTTTTGTTTATATGAACATTGTTCGAACCAATATTTTTGATGACAGTAATGAAGGAATTGTCGTTTAGAGTGTGGATCGCAGGATGCAATTCAATATCGTGTTTACTTACAGTTGGTTGAAAAAGGACAGGTTGATTGTTAGCATGAGGACTATTGACTCTTAAGTGCGCAATTGTCGATTCTCCAGGATCTAACATAATTTTGTGTTTCAAAATTGCATAACATTCTGAAGGTACAGGATTACAATTATAATTTTTTACATTAGCCATATTAATTAGAGGTACATCAAAATTATTAAATTTTGCAACTGCACTTTTAGCACATATTAAGACATCATGTTTGGATAAAAAGTCATAACCTAAAATTCCATGAAAATTTTTGTTGAAAAGCATCAGATACATAAAAGGCGTGTTTAAAATGCTGCTTGTTTATCTTAAATGATATTTCTGCACAGGCTGAAAAATGTAAATTGGAATTGATAGTTTTAATTTGAACATGTCTGGATAAAAATCTAACTTTAGTATCCAATCTTATTGTATCAAACACAGCTTTTGATAACAATGACACAGAACTTCCTGAATCAAGTAATAAAGTGCACAAATTTTTACCAAATGTTACATGAATCAAAGGAAGAGTACAATCAGAAAAGACATTATTTATATGCGCAATAGGTAAACAATTACTTTTTTACTTTTGACATGAAATTGTTGCAAAAACTCTTTGATAGAACTCGAGGGTTTACCACTGATTATCATTTGCTTATTTAAATATGTTTCAATACTCTCCGATTCTTTGCTCGTATGATAGTTGGTTTTTGGTGACTTGGTTGAAACATTAGAGGTCACATCGCCACCTACTTGTGAACTCCCCTTGCGTTTAAAGGGGTACTGTATCTTGGCTGATTATAATAATTTGGTCTCCGACCATAAGATGGAAATCTGTTAACATTTGAGTTATCACCTTGTCGCGTACTATTGCTATAGAACTGTGGTCTAGTGAGATTAGGACGACTGCTAACATAGTTACTCGAACTTCTAACCTGGTTCTGACGAGGGCTACACATCGCCAAATACGCACGACATACTGACATTGAATGTCCAAATTTATGACAGTATAAGCATGGAAGTGGATATGGAGGATATATGGGAGTTTCTTGCATCCAATTTACACAGTGGTCATTTGCATCTTGAGCATGTGTGGGATTACTTGTCCGTAAAGACAAAACAGCATTACATTGATTTAAGGGATGCTTATCTAAATTACAAAACTGACATTTTTCATTCTGTAATGCAATTTGAAGACTGAGGTTTTCAACTTGACTTTTTAAACTCTCAATAGCATCATCTTTGCTATTCAAAGCAATGGAATGTGTTTGCATTATTTTCAAATTTTGCGAATTAGAATGATGTTGCTGAGCTAAATTCACAAGCTGATCAAAATTATCTGTAGATTCACTAATTAATTTTTCTTTGAGTTCTATTGGTAAAGCAGCTAGAAACTGCAAAGATTTTATTTGGTTCAATGCTTTGCTATTTTGAACATGGTTGTATGTAGCATGAGCCAAAGTTTCAATGCGATGAGCAAGACTTTTCATTGACTCACCAGGTAACAGCTGAATGGTCTGGAAAGCAATTAAATTAGATGAAGAGTTAGAATCCTTCGAAAAGAAATTTATCAGTTTTTCACAAGCCTCGTCTAGGGAAGTCACATTTTGACAAGCAGGCGATTCTGCAAAGAACTGCTGTGCAGCACCAACAAGTTTACTTTTCAGATATAATAGTGCAACTTTATCATTCCAATTATTAAGAGTTTTATATTCTTTAATCTGGCTAGTGAACCAGCGAACGGTATCAGGATCACCAGAAAATGATGCAATATTAAATGTGAATGTTTTAGTTTCCATTTGTTCAGGAGATTGTTGTCGTGTCTTAGGCATACTCAATTAAACAAAATAACATTCTATGAAATGACACATATGATAAATATGCAAATTTTTGCCCAATAAAGGTATATACTATAAATCATATATATAATACAATAAAAAAAATTAATATCAAACAAATTTACCACTGCAGCATAAGACTTAAGTTAGACTTTGAATCATTCATGTGATTAATACAATCTATATTCATCTTAAATACATTCAGTTAGACTTTGAATCATTCATGTGATTAATACAATCTATATTCACTTTAAATACATTCATAAATACAACTGCTTTAAATACAGTCTTAGAATAGATACAGTTCAATGCAACGTTAATGTAATTGCCACAGCACACGAAACGGTTGGGCGCGGCACCAAGTGTGGTAATGATTATTTCGTTGGTTGTGGTGGCAAACGTATATGTCACATGTTATGATAAACAGGAATATAGTGGCAACTTACCCCAGGACAAGATCCAGGTCTATAGCCCGCCGTGACGAGAGAGTGACAAACACGTGAAAACAGATTTAATTCTTGCTTTATTGGATACTAACAATACTGAAGAGATATTCCTTTTTTTTTTTAATCCGGTATGTCACATGACGATATGAGGCCTCCTCACTCAGAACAAAAAAAGGATAGATCAATTCTTCCACACAGCCCTTCGAAGACTTGGTGTATTTCAGCTCAAACACATGCAGGTACTCTTCATCGGGATGCCGGGCGAAAATGCCAAGCCCGGGAAAAAAAAGGAGATTAGCTTAAATTTTGCAGCTACAACATCAAAGAGAAAGAAACTCGCTTCCTTCATACACACTGGGAGACCAAAGAAAGCTTGCACGATAAACTCCCAAAAGTTTGCATTTTACCCCACTCTTACTGTCTTTCTCTATGCAGCATCTCCATCTCGCACCTTCACAATCTCCTCCTTCTCCTCCCTCCTGGTAGACAAAAAATACCGCCTTTTATAAAGTTCCACAGTTAAGTTTTGCCGCCCAATGAAAAAATCCAGCGTCAGAAGGCAACCAATCGCAAAATACCTTCAGCTACCCAGGCAAACAGAAGTGAAGACGCTAGTTGTCTGACGCAATACTTTCCTCCGCTTACAACAGTTGTCTGATACAATACTTTCCTCCGCTTACAACAGTTGTCTGATGAAATCTGTTCCTCACCTTACAACACAAGTTGGCGAACAAAATGAAACTGTCACCAAAGGAATCTGATGAAAATATCTAAATATTGCCATAACGTAGTAAATAATTAATTCAATGTGACCTCATCACAAAAGTTAAAAAGGCTTATCTTTTAGTCGATCTTTTTTCTCGTTCCAAAGGCGTATCCGGGAATGTTTTTAATTATTACATTCATCAAGAGGCACTACTCACGCAAAAAGAGAGGCTTCTAAGATAATAAAATATTTAATTTACAATTATATCACTAAACTAATATATATATGTACATATATATATATATATATAACACAGAAGAGAAGAATTATATGTTTTCACTCAAACGTCCATCACGAGTTCTTAAAGTTAGTTAAAAGTTCTGTTTTAGTTTTTGCTGCGCGCATG